ATGGCGTTTAATGTCTGACTCAATCTAATCAACTAAATCTAGACAACTCAAGGACTTCAACTCCATCACATCACTGCTCATTTTCATCCATTCATTTCATTTTTCTTTGAAACTTCTCATCATTTGTCCCATTTTGTTTATTTTCCTTTCTGTCCCTCATCTCTCCATCACGCTGTGTTCAGTCATTGTGGTCGTTGCCTTTGCCACAAGCCGAGGTCCGATTCCCCCTCAGATGGGGCTTACTGGACGGATCCCAGCACCTATACAGTGCCATACACCTGCCCTGCCTGCCAGAAACTAGAACAGGCTGAGTTTAACCGGCAGCAGCAGCAGCAGCATCAGTGTGCTGCTTCGCTCCAGCAGCCTCCATCCTCGCCGCAGCAGGCGCTGCCACCGCCTCACGTTGAAACTCTTATCACTTAGTGTGTGCCTCAGACAGCTCCTGTTCAATCCCTGATTGGACAGTATGTGCCTTAACACAGCGGATCACATCCTGTGATGAGGTGAGCAGAACAGCACTGTTCACACGCTGTAAATGACTGTAGGGTTTCCTCATCATATCAAAACCACAGGCCCTTTAGTGCTACGAGGTTTATTGCAGAGAAACTTTTACAATAATTCATAAATGCCAAATTCTTAAGGTTTAATAGTAAGTTAAAAGGAAATAATTTAAATTCAGTTAATTTATATAGTTCCAATTCACAACACATGTCATCTCAAGTTGCTGGTGAAGATTCCCTGTCATCCAGGTCATCAGTCATTCCAAAAAAGGTTAAAAAAAAAGTAAAAAAAAAACAAAAAACCCACTAAACTTTGTTTTCCAAGTTGGAAATCTCAAGGCACTTTCCAGAGACAATTCAACCAGATCATCCAGTCATTCAAAGGGTTCTATCTGAGGAAAACCAGCTGATTGCATCGACTCAATGACTCAAATACAATCCCTCACACTAGCATGCTTGTAGTGACAGTGGAGAGGAAAAACTCCCTTTGAACAGGAAGAAACCTCCAGCAGAACCAGGCTCATGAAGACATGGAGCCCTTAGTTTAGTCCCAAACAGGCTCCTCAGATCACAGGTACTCGCGTAAAACCTTACTCTGCAAATGTTCTGCTCTCTAACCAGTGGGCCGCCCTGAGACTCACACTCCTTCACTACTGTTACAATTAG